TGCCTTTAGAGAATTTCTTCAAATTAGACACAAATATCCACTTGAACTCAAGGATAAACTGATTATATTTTTCTGGTCAACGGTTGCAGTGACCTCACGTCTGTCCCATTTTTGTGAACACGATATCTCAAAAATGCCGTGAGGGAATTTCTTCAAATTAGGCACAAACCTCCACTTGGACACAAGGATGAACAGATTCAGTTTTGGTCAACCTCATGTTTGTCCCATTTCTGTGGATTTGGCTGGTTGGTGGAGGCATGCAGCCTCAAATTAAATGTATCATTTGTATGGAAGCTCAGTATACAGGGGGGTGGTTGTCAATGCCACACAATAAGCAGCACCATTTTCCAGACCTAACCTGCCCTTAACACAAAGCATCCCTGAACCCTGTCCTCAGCCAAGCAAAGAGGAGCTACGTGGCTTGACACACAGCATCTGCATTGGATTAGCTCAGGTTAAGCAGTGGCTGGTCCAGCTGGTTTGTAGTGGCGGGTTAGAGAACTGAGAACTGGGTCCACTCAGCTGTCCAACCACTGACAGTGTTCCACCAAGACTGTCAAACAAATGAAGAATATAATACTAACACCCCAGTGAGTCTGTAATTATATGATCACCAATACAAGTTCTGTGTGGGTGTAGGGGTGAAGGCAGGTCTACAGGGTCAACAGGTGGGTGCCCTATTGCCAACGGGTGTTTTATTGAGTTGGGCCCATGACACCAAGAAGGCATGGGCCCAACAGTGTGCCCCAGAACCCAGCACCACGACACCCAGCACAGTCATTCATCAGTATCTACTGAATACTCCGTCGAGCCTTTCAAACAGCAATCATTAACTTAGTTATCTGCTACCTACCCGTTAGCAACATTTTGTCCTAGCTATCAAACATTTTCAATAACGCATTCAAACTTCTGCTTACTTTTTGCAATAAACCAGTATTTCCACCCTCCCTTGATAATCACGCTAACATTACAGTTCTATGCAAGCACTTGGAGATTTTGCCCTGATAAACATGCTTTATTAACTGTAATAATAATTAGTAATATTATCTGGTATGGCTCTGTGTTGGTTAGTCACACACATACCAATGCGCATTCCTGGTAGATTACTTTGTAATGTGAATATAATACCTCTAAGGACTAAAATTTTTGGAGTTGTAAAATCCTATCTGTGAGTACTACTGGGAACTGCTGTGCAGTGTTTTCTCATTCAGTTCAATTCAGTTTTATTTGTATAGCACCAATTAAGAAGAAAAAAAATCACCTCAGCGCACTTTACATAGTAAGGGCTAGAGAAAGAAACCTCCAACAGACCCCGGCTCTCTGCTTCTGCCTCGACTGGTTGGGGTGAGTGGATGGAGGAGAGAGAAAAGAAAAGCAACAACAAGCAAAACAAGACTGAAACTCTGTGGCCTGCTCTCATCTCTGTGTTGTCATAGTTGAGGTTGTCTAATCTGATCTATAAATGCATTAGTAGTGCAGCTGGACTTCTTTGATAATATTTTTTCTCACTGGTACTTTAACCAACATGTCCCCACCAAAACAGCCCCCTGTCATTTTAACACACAGCTGGATTTGGCTTGAATGCCTGCTAAAGGTTGTTAGACCCGTCTTATCTGAGCAGTTGAAGAAGCTCCAGCCCACACTTTGGCTAGTCAAGAACACACATTGGATTTAGAGAAACATCAGTCCAACTTGAGGTTCAGATAGCAGCTGAAGATGCCACCTATAAATAGCCTTTGTGAGAACAGTGTAGTAACCTGAAGTGTAATCTCCAGGTGAACTTCACTGAAGTGCAGCAAAGGGATAGAAACCAGGCACTCAGAGTTAAGAATCAAACAGTCAGTACGCAGCTGAAGTGCTATATTAATACCAAACAAAGCAATGCTCAGGTAGGAAGCTACTAATGGTGATGCAAACAGAAGAACCCCTTGCACTTGGCAAGAGTCACCTTCAGATCATATAAATACAGAGTGTTTTTAAAGTAAGGTTAGATGGCATGTCTGTCTTAATCTGGAACAAAACAATGACTGAGAAAACTTCAGTGTAAACAAATGAACCCACATACAAATTCTCCACCTTACACAAATATGTCACCTGAAACATGAAACCAAATGACAGCAAGAGTATAAGGAGTTCAGGATGTTCAGTTTAGTGCTCTGATAGTCCAGTTTTCAGCACAGAAACAAACTTTATCTGCAGTATCTGGATGTAACTTGTTTCTACATATAGTGATAAAGCACTATTTAAAACTACTGTACGCCCCATTCACATTTTATGTTCTGCATTTCTATCACTGCTGGGGAAACTCCAGTCAGTTACGTTATCTATACCCTTAGGTAAATTTGGTTTGCCGTACGAGAGAGAGAGAGAGAGAGAGAGAGAGAGAGAGATTCATAGTAACACACGCACTGACAAACACATCACATATACACACATAATGCCCCATATTCATATCATCACTATTAAGATAATGAAACTGAGAAAATCAGTTATTTATAAGATCAGTGATTAAGGTTAACGCTCGCTAAGCATTATATCAACATCTGTCTGTATGTTTAAAGGCCTTGGATCAGCATCTGGGACATTTACTGGAAAAGTCGTGTTTGTCTTCTCACCTTTTTCCCCTTTTTACAGCTGGCATTCATGAAAAACATCGTTTTCTGTGAATATAGTATCTAATTTCTGACCTCTGCTACTCCTGCTTAGGTCCAGTAGAGTTTGAAGAATCATGAACTGCTTGACGCTGCCTGTTAAATATCCAGGAGTGAACTAACAAAAAACAAGGAGGATCAAAGCAAATTAAAATGGCAGTTTTCAAGCCTGAAAACGTGGAAGACTTGTATGAGATCGGTGAAGTTCTGGGAAGGTGTGTATATGAATGATTGTTTTTAAAAGCTGGTGTGATGGCTCATTTTGACCCATTTTAATAAATAGAGAGTGTATTTATAGAACAGGAACAATGAAATTGATTTGGTAAATGCACTGATTTGCGATGTAATGTTTATATTCATCTCCACTTATGGTGGCTCTTACTAGGCACGATGAAATGAGGCTATTCCAAAAATCATGAACCCAATTGTCAAAAGTTCTTTAAACAAAGACCTAATATAATGGTGCTCTGCACACTTTGGAATGCTATTGATTGGTATCAGCGCCTGGGAGTAGTTGTTGCATTTGTATCTGTTGTGTTACAGATTTATGTGCATAAAAGCCTATAAAACTAAACAACATAGGTTTCCATTAACATTGAACTGTAATTCAGTGGATAGGCGGAGTTTGACATTTGCGCAGGGGGGTTAAACTCATTACACATATTCTTCAGGTGCAGAACCAATCAAGGTTAAGATCACCCAGATGAAAAATTTCACTTTTCTTGTGATTGTTCCGGAACTGAAAAACCACAGTTATCACTTTTTCCTAAGGAAACATTTAAGGCTAGAAATTCAAATCTTTTTGCTCTAGACACAGAATTAACAAGAGCAAACAGGAGCATTTTTTCACAAAAACTTTTTTAGGATTTTAGGCTGCACCAAGGCCTTTATGATGAGAAAAACAATGAATGTACAAATGTCAGTGCTCTGATCTAACAGCATTGAAACCGCTCTCCTGATTCCATCCTTTCTATTAGAGCATTTCAGGGGAAGATCGTAGTCGTTAGTCTGAACCTCGGTTATATTATCTCACTCAGATCTACGTTCAGGTTGACGACTCAAACATCTATAATCACTCACTGTGATAGGAATTTTAAAAACTGGTTCATCATAGCAAAGGTTCGGACTTGTCAAACATCAATGTGTACTTAAAGTTCCTCATAGAAGTCACACACTTGTTAGCTGCGCTCATCTTCACTCCAGTGCTCAGCAGCGCAGCTACACACATTGGCCACAAAGGGGCTCACCTACAGTCGACCTTTGCAAAATTCACAATGATGAATAATCTTTGGATTAAGTATGCAACGGATCAGCACCAAAATCTAATCAATGGTTCTGTGGGCCATACTCTACCTCTAAAAATTTGAATTAAATTCCATTCATTACTCTCTGAATTATTCTGTTAAAAACCAAACAACCCAACAAACACCAGCAAAAACATAACCCCCGCCCTTGTAATGAGTGAATTGTCAAAACAACACATTTTTGCCTCATCTCAACTTGGTTCACGGTCAATTATGTTCTTGCTCCATCCAGTGGGCATTTTGGGCAGGTTCGACAGGTTCGTGAACGGGCCTCTGGGAAATGTTGGGCGGGCAAGTTCCTGAAGATTCGGAAGAACTCGTGCAGCCGCCTGGGCCTGGACCGGAGCAGTGTGGAGCAGGAGGTGGAAATCCTCCAGGCTGTACAACATCCAAACATTGTGATTCTCAAAGATGTTTTTGAGAGCCGAGCTGAGGTGGTGCTCATTCTGGAGCTGTGAGTAAACAAGTGTGTGCATATGTGTGTTTGACCTTTTGTTTCCAAACTAATGCACTACGTATACATGGCAGTGTGCTCAGTGCAAGCACAGGAGAGCTTGTGAAAGTGAGACTGACATTTTCACGTGTCACAACAGGAACATTCTCACTCAAGATCTGCAAAATGAACATATATTTCCACTGTCACTGAACGAGTGACCTGAACCGTGGAACCGCCTGTGAGCTCCTGAGGGACTTGAGCCCTGTAATAATTTGCCACCAGATCTGAAATAATAAAATCAAGATTAGATATTATGATGTTGCCTACTATGAATCTGACTATCATCCTAATTTCTAATTATATGAACCAGGCACATTTTGGAGCAACAGAGCAATAAATGCAAATATCTCAGCACAAGTTCAGAATCTGAACCAGAATCACATCAAATCAAATTTTATTTGTATAGCACCAAATCACAACAAAAGTCATCTCAGGACACTTTACAAAGTAAGGTCTAGACTTTACTGTTATCAATATTATTACATAGGGAAAACCCAACAAATCCCCCTTGAGCAAGCACTTGGCGACAGTGGGGAGGAAAAACTCCCTTTAACGGAAGAAACCTCCGACAGACCCCGGCTCTTGGTGGGCGGCCTTCTGCCTCGACCGGTTGGGGTGAGTGGATAGAGGAGAGACAAAAGAAGAAAAGCAACAAGACACAACAATCAAACACTGATCAGGTCGATGTGGCCGGTGACTGCTCGTCAGAGATATAGAGCTCCAGGGCAACCTGCAGAAAGTTACAGGGAGAGAGAGAGAGGACACACTACGGGAGAAAGGAGACACACAGTCAGTAATGTGTAATGGTGGCATATAGAAACATAGGGAGAGAGAGGAGAGGAGAGGAGAGCAGGA